GACAAGGACTAGAAGGCAGAAGGGGACAGGAAAGCTGGTGATAGGGAACCCAAGGTTGAGTAAGGTTAGTGTTGACAGGTAGTGGGGTTGTTAACCACTGTCATAGGGCAACATGTGTACTAACTGTTTAATGAGAAACTACTTCGTTCTGTAAACCTTCATCTAAAGTGAGAACAGCAGCACAACTGGAAGAATGTAATCAATGTCACTGAACTGTGCATGTAGAAATTTTTGAAATGGTGTATTTTTGGCTATGTATACTTTCACCAAAAAAAAAAACAAAACGCTGAGAAGGGAGAGGGTTGACGTGTCGTGGGGTTAACCAATGTCATAAAACACTATGTGTACTGACTGTTTAATGAGAAACTATTTGTTCCGTAAACTTTCACCTAAAGTACAAAATATATATATATACACACACACATACATATATATATCAACGGCATGGACCTTGCCTGATGGAATACACAGGAATCAAATCGACTACATATGTGGAAAGAAATGACAGAGAATCTCAGTATCATAAGTCAGAACACGGCTAGGGGCCAACTGCAGAACTTGCTCATATGCAAGTTTAAGTTGAACATGAAGAAAATTAGAACAAGTCCACGAGAGCCAAAGTACAACCTTGAGCATATCCCACCTGAATTTAGAGACCATCTCAAGAACAGTTCTGATGCATTAAACACTAATGACCAAAGCCCAGACAAGTTGTGGAATGACATCAAGGATATTATACAAGAAGAAAGCAAGAGGTTATTAAAAAGACTGGGAAGAAAGAAAACACGAAAATGGTTGAGAGACGAGACTCTGAAATTTCCTCTTGAATTCAGAGTAGCTTAAATGAATGGAAGAAATGATGAAGTAAAAGAGGTGAATGGAAGATTTCAAACAGTGGCTTGAGAAGACAAAGTAAAGTAATATAATGACATGTGCAAAGACCTGGAGTTAGAAAACCAAAAGGGAAAAACAAACTCAGCATTTCTGAAGCTAAAAGAACTGAAGAAAAAATTCAGTGTCTTGAATTTAACTGCGAAGGATTCTATGGGCAAATTAAGGAAACATGCGGGAAGCATCAAAAGAAGATGGAAGGAATACAGTCACTGCACCAAAAAGAAATGGAAAAACATACAATCATTCTGGGAGAAAAAAGCCAAACCCACCGCCATTAAGTCGATTCCGACTCACAGCAACCCTACAGGATGGAGTAGGACTGTCCCATAGGGTTTCCAAGGGATGGCTGGTGGATTCAAACTGCAGATCTTTTGGTTAGCAGCCAAACTCTTAACCACTGTGCCACCAGAAATACATTTCAAGGAAAGCATATGATTAAGAACTGATGTTATTGACTAAATAAACCTATAACAAAAGAAGAGACTGAAAAGGTAATTTAAAAACTCCCAACAAAAAAAAATCCCTGGCCCGGATGGCTTCACTGGAGAATTCTACCAAACTTTCAGAGAAGAGTTAACACCACTACTACGAAAGGTATTTCAGAGCATAG